TTTGGGTAACGCTCCTTAGTTATTGTCATTGCCTGCAGGTGGTGCAAGTGAGCATTTTAGTTTCTTGTTTGTTGGTGACAGAGATAGATGGAAACTGCAGATCTGCAGTTTGTTGATGATCGTCAGTCATGGGTGCTTGTCCCTTGTTAACTGAAACCAGCAATCACAGCCTGTGCTCACCTGTCACATGTTCCAAATATTATTATGAAATGTAATGCAGCTCATCTGAAGTCTGGGTAAAGTACTGATTTTGTCTTCTGTGAGCAGGACACCACTCTGGCCGACCTGCTGAAGCTCGACCTGCACTGCTTTGAAGAGGAGGTGAGAGGAATCGTGGATAAGGCTGTTAAAGAGATGGGGATGGAGAAAGTCCTCTCAGAGCTCGACACCACATGGACAGGTACGTGAAGTTTTACCACACGAGTTTTTCATCTTGCTTTCCAGAATTTGTGACCAGTCCACTGACTTTATCGATCACACACAGGTATGGAGTTCCAGTACGAGCCCCACCACCGCACCCAGGTGCCTCTGCTGCGCACGGATGAGGAGCTCATTGAGACGCTGGAGGACAACCAGGTCCAGCTGCAGAACCTCATGACGTCCAAGTACATTGGGCACTTCCTGGATGAGGTGTCGTCGTGGCAGAACAAACTGTCTGTTGCAGACTCTGTCATCTCCATGTGGTTCGAGGTTCAGCGGACGTGGACCCATCTAGAGAGCATCTTCATTGGCTCTGAGGACATACGCTCACAGCTGCCTGAGGTTACAAACAACATATACATACATATGCACACACACACACACACACACTTACAGCTCTATATTTCAGGTACACATCATTGACAAGCTCATATTCATGCAGGGCTGCACCCTTGTTGTTGCCATATGAACCCAGATAGCATGACTGTTATAGCTGTTAATTAGGAATGCATTAATTAGCCCATACTCTCAGTAGCCCAGTTTAAGATCTGAGATTACACAACTTTTTTAATTGCTCTCCTGATGTTCGGGCTGTGCTTAACCCAGATGTTTGCTATTAAACCTGTGATTCTCCTGTCTCTCTTGTGGGAACCTAAATCCCCTGACCGTGTTCCCTTGTGAAATCCTCTTCAGGACTCCAGCCGCTTCGAGGACATTGACACCAATTTCAAAAAACTGGCAAACGAATTGCAACAAACTCCAAACGTAGTGGAGGCCACCAATAAACCAGGGCTCCTTCCTACGCTTGAGGACATGCAGAGCAGGTGAGTCGTCTTTCTGTTTCTTCTTTGTCTGTTATCAGGGGCGGTCTCACAAATAGACTGACTGTTTATGTCTCTACAGACTATCTCTCTGTGAAAAAGCTCTGGCAGAATACCTGGACACCAAGCGTCTGGCCTTCCCGAGATTCTACTTCATCTCRTCAGCTGATCTGCTGGACATCCTGTCTAATGGGACCAACCCTCACCAGGTGGCTTATTTATTTATGCAGTGTCAAAGAGAATACCAGTCAGACCGTGAGCTGAGTGTAAATTGAGCCCGAGCTTAATGTGTCTGTGTGTTTACTCAGGTCCAAAAGCATCTGTCTAAGCTKTTCGACAACATGGCTAAGATGCGATTTGAAGAGGATGGARAAGGGAATCCTTCTAAGACTGGACTGGGCATGTACAGCAGAGAGGACGAGTACGTCCCCTTTATGAAGCCCTGTGACTGCACTGGACAGGTAAAAGAGACCTGGAAACTTTGTCACATCTTTAAAATTGTGATTCGGCAACTTCCAATGACTCATTATCTTGGTCTGTRTTAGGCGTCAGGCTGACAGTGTCACTATGGCTGTCTGCAGATGACTGCGATAGATGAGAAMATTCACTTACCTGCCCTTTTCTGTAATGGAAAGACATTGAGGAAAATATTTAGCAAATACAGATATCATAACCCYCAACAAAGGACACAAATGAAATTTAGTCTGTCATTACCCCTCAGGGCTTTTGCATATCAAAGCCCATAAATCCATTAATTTTCCATTACATCCCATAGTATTTGCCTGACTCCACATTCACTCTAATGCTTATTAATGACCTCATTAGGGTCCATTGATAAGAGAGCCCATTGGTGCTTACGTGACAGACAATGCAATATTTGTCGACATTTGTATTAATGGGCCTGTGTGTGTGTGTGTGTGTGTGTGTGTGTGTGTGTGCGTGTGTGCGTGCCTATGTTAGGTGGAGATGTGGTTGAACCGCGTGATGGACTCCATGCGCTCCACAGTTCGCCATGAGATGACTGAGGCAGTGGTGGCCTACGAGGAGAAACCCAGAGAGCAGTGGCTGTTTGACTATCCAGCTCAGGTAAAAACAGGCTCAGTATGCATCGATTTAACTGACGACACTCACTTTGGGGATTTTTTCCCATCAGTCACCTTCTCTAACATCTGATGGATCTGTTCCAAAGTCACGTCTGTGTCTCCCATGGACATTTCAACCCAGTCCATACACTCACTAACGTTTTACACACAGAGTTTAGTATTCTGAACAGTACGATTACAAATATGTGCGTGCTATGATAATGGAACCCTTCAAGACATAAATTTGTTTGAAAAAAAAGACGATGTTGCTGGCCCTTGCAGGACTGTAATAAACGCGACCAATCATTTAATTTGGACATAAAATGATAATCTAACCTGCTTGCCTGCGTGCAAGGATGCAGTACATTTTCCAGCTCTTCGTTACTGTTACAACTTCTCCTCCTCTTTGGCTGCAAATGAAAAAAGCACATTAACATTAATTCCATCACTTTTTTTCTACCTTTTGTTGCCTGGGATTCAGGTGGCGTTGACCTGCTCTCAGATCTGGTGGACGTCTGACGTTGGCATGGCTTTCACCCGGCTGGAGGAGGGCTATGAGAACKCCATGAAGGASTACTACAAGAAACAGGTGACCCAGCTCAACACCCTCATCTCCATGCTGGTTGGCAAGCTCACGCCGGGCGATCGGCAGAAGGTGATGACCATCTGTACTATTGACGTCCACGCCAGAGACGTGGTGTCCAAGATGATCACACAGAAGGTAAGCAGGGGGCCATAAATCTGGTTAAGAACATATCATATATAAACTCTTCTGCAGACATGACAGCTGCATTTTTTGAGAGGATATAACCAGTGTGTGATGCTGTCAAGTTATTCAAGCAAGGTGTCTCATCACCATGATTAGAAGGTGATAAAAGCACTGGTTATGTTTTTGTCAATCTTTGTTTCAAGTCAGTTTTATTTTCTTTAAGGTGGAGAATTCTCAGGAGTTTGTGTGGCTCTCTCAGMTGAGACACTGCTGGGGCGAGAAGGAGAAGCATTGTTTTGCCAACATCTGTGATGCCCGCTTTATCTACTCTTATGAATACCTGGGCAACACTCCACGATTAGTCATCACTCCTCTGACTGACAGGTATGTTGGTTTCCTTCTTTGGGCCTTTGTTGCGACTGAAGGGCAACACAATATGAAGGTGCATTTCAAGCTTTCGCTTACTGTTGCTACATTAAGCAGTTTCAATTGATTGTGTGTGTGTGTGTGTGTGTGTGTGTGTTTAGATGCTACATCACCCTGACCCAGTCCCTACATCTGATCATGAGTGGAGCTCCAGCAGGTCCCGCTGGGACAGGCAAGACTGAGACGACCAAAGACTTGGGCAGAGCTCTGGGCATCATGGTCTACGTATTCAACTGCTCCGAGCAGATGGACTACAAGGTGAGCTGCTGCTAACACATGTGCGTCTGTAGTCGAGGCTATACACTCTAGAGCAAGGTGTCAGAGTGAAGTGCTAATATACTCCAGGAGGAACACAGGCTTCAGAGCCTCACAGTGTTACTCATACTCAGTTATGCATACACACACACACACACACACACACACACAGGCACACACACAGGCACACATACGAGTTTAGTCAGCTCCAGTTTGCATCAGAGAAGGTTTCGATGGCCCTGTAATTGGAGAGAAAAAGGAGCCTAACAGAACGACTTCCTGTCCCACTGTGTCAATCTGAATATCTTTGTCTTTCTGTGTCCACCAGTCCTGCGGGAACATCTACAAAGGCCTGGCTCAGACGGGGGCGTGGGGCTGCTTTGACGAGTTTAACAGGATCTCAGTGGAGGTGCTGTCTGTGGTGGCCGTACAGGTGAGAACAAGTCCAGTTCTGCTGCCTCCCAAAATCTCTTTCAGGTCATTGTGTGTTTGCACCCTGAGTGTATGGGGCTTAAATGTGAAACTTTTCATTTTATCTGAGGGGGTGGTCCATCCATATCAAGTTGAGGCGAAAATAAGCCTTTGAAAATAGAGTTGAGGAAGTAAATAGCCTCTTCATCGCCCATTGCAGGCGTAAATTGCTTCAGCTATAAGACTAATTTACCAAAGCTGGCACCTTTGGACCCCAGAGCCTCTCTATAATCAGAGGCTTCTCTGATCTGATTTGAGGGTAGAAGATGGAAAACCTGTCTGGGCCACTGCCTTGGCATTTTATCCATCCAGTAAAGCTGATCGCACGCCCATACAGTGACATTTCATTGTGTTTCTTTTGTATTCATGTGCAGGTCAAGAGTATCCAGGACGCCATTCGAGATAAGAAGGAGAGATTTAATTTCATGGGAGAGGATGTGAATCTCTGCCCGACCGTCGGCATCTTCATCACAATGAATCCCGGCTACGCTGGCAGGACTGAGCTTCCTGAGAACCTGAAGGCTCTGTTCAGGTGAGTAAAATGACTCAGTTTTCTCATTAGCTACCACCTGCTATCTTTTACTCATATGATTATCCAGAGAAATTTAGATTTACATTAATTGTAGTTAATGCACATGTTGTCAAAATGAAATGATAAAATTACCATGAGTTAATGGTCAAATGATGCTCTGTGGATGACAAAAACATTTATTTGTCTAGAATTATGATGATGAACAAGAACTGAGCTCATTTGAATGTGTTCTGTCCACATCTCCACAGACCCTGTGCCATGGTGGTGCCAGATTTCGAGCTGATCTGTGAAATCATGCTGGTGGCTGAGGGCTTTATTGACGCCCGGGTCCTTGCTAGGAAGTTTATCACTCTCTACACACTGTGTAAAGAGCTGTTGTCCAAACAGGTACTGTCTGATCTCTTCAATTACACATCTGACCTGTTTATAGAATATACACATCTATTTACACTTCACAGCCAGAAAATGAGAACAAGAGATAGTTTGAATTTGTCTGTTGAAAGTTACATTGCAGAACAAAGATGATTTTAAGCCTGCTGTAAATTCCATCCGATAAGTTCTACTGTGAGTCCCATAATGGATATTATAGGAGTTTTATCCAGCACTCAAAATAATAAGTGAACTAGTGCTGCACTGTTTTCTTTATATTTCAGGGTGGATGGGTGTTTTTAAATGGAGTTAGGATTATATTCTTATCATGTTTATTATGTTCGAATTGGTTAAATGAACCGGTGATGAATTGAAAATTTGGATTTAGTTTTTGTTCAAGCAGGATGACGATTCATGTGTATTTGTGTATTTTCCTCTGCTCACTGATATTTCTCTGGTCTTTATCAAAGGACCACTATGACTGGGGCCTACGAGCCATTAAGTCAGTGCTGGTGGTGGCCGGCTCCCTGAAGAGAGGAGACCCCGACAGAGCAGAGGACCAGGTGCTGATGCGAGCACTGAGAGACTTCAACATCCCCAAGATTGTGACAGACGACATGCCAGTGTTCATGGGGCTGATCGGAGATCTGTTTCCTGCCCTGGACGTGCCCAGGAAGAGAGATTTGGACTTTGAGAAGCACGTGAAGGCGTCCATCCTGGACTTGAAGTTACAGGCTGAGGACAATTTCRTACTCAAGGTAGAGGAAACACGATTCCTTGACAGCCTGCTGAGAGGTCTCATGCTTGTCTGCTGATGTAAAAGATGTGAAAGTTAAAATGTTGCTAAACCAAGGATAAAGGCAAACTCAAGTTGTTTGAGAAGCAAAGGCAAAGTCCCTGAATGGGGATTTCATCCTTAACAATTTATCAGATACTAGATTTTGGAGTTGTAACATTTATTCATCCATCCATTATCGAAACTGCTTATCCTTTGAGGGTTTCCAGAGGGAGCTGCAGCACGCTACCCTGTCAGTCTGCATCGCATTATATTCACTGAAACTAGAACATCGAGGATACAGTGGACTGAGTGCTGCAGCCCATGAAATTCTATATCGCTCTGTAAACGGTCCAATGACGATCTGTGTGCCTCCATGTGACGAAGACAAAGCATTATCTAAAATGTTTCACCCTGTTTGTTTTATAGGTGGTGCAGCTGGAGGAGCTGCTGGCCGTGCGCCACTCTGTGTTTGTGATCGGGAACACCGGCACAGGGAAGAGTCAGGTGCTGAGGTCACTCCAGCGGACCTATCAGAACATGAAGCGCAAACCTGTGTGGACCGACCTCAACCCAAAGGCTGTGACCAATGACGAGCTTTTCGGGATCATCAACCCAGCCACCAGAGAGTGGAAAGATGGTGATGCAGGAGTCATGTAGAAAAAGTTTATGACAGAGCGACATGAGCCCAGACTAACCAGAGTGTGATCTCTCTCTTCCTGCAGGCCTTTTCTCCAGCATAATGCGTGATCTGTCCAATGTCACTCACAGCGGGCCTAAGTGGATTGTTCTGGATGGAGACATTGATCCAATGTGGATTGAGTCCCTCAACACAGTCATGGATGACAACAAGGTGTGAGCAAGTTGAACATTGTGTGTGTGCTTGTTTGTAAATGCGTTGACTTATAGTCTTTTATTCAGAATAGAAATGATAATATGATAAATATGCAGATAATCAAAGTAGGATGAGCACTCTGCACCATAGACTGTTTATAAAAAGCTCTCCACACAAACAATAAAAAAGTGACAGTATATTGTAGAACTGTTTTAGGAGGAAGCACAAATGGAGCAAATTCCCTCTCAGTGATATCTTCATGCATTGTGTCTGGTTCTGTTAGGTGCTGACTCTGGCCAGTAACGAGCGGATCACTCTCAACCCCACCATGAGGCTGTTGTTCGAGATCAGCCACCTCCGCACTGCTACCCCCGCCACAGTGTCAAGAGCAGGTAGTTCTTGCGTTTTGTCTTTCTTTGCTCTTATCAAAAATCTAGTTTTAAACAATCAGTCATTTTTGAGTAGACAGATAGTCAGGGATTGCAGTTCATGCCGGCTTGGAATAAATTTGTGCCTGATGAGGATCTGATATCCTCAGAGCTGCAATAACCATTTATATTTTTACAAGTATTAAAATGACTGCACCTAATGTGAAAATTGATTAATCACTGAAATAAGTTATTTATTTGGCAAAAAATATCAAACATTGCCAGGCCACTTTTTTATTCATAATTGTACCTGTGTTCTCTCCAGGCATCCTGTACATAAACCAAGCAGACCTTGGGTGGAACCCCCCAGTATACAGCTGGATTGACAGGAGGGAGGTTCACTCAGAGAAGGCCAACCTGACCATACTGTTCGACAAGTACCTTCCCTCTTGCCTGGACGTCCTCAGATTGAGGTAAGCAGCTCCTCGGCCGCTCTGTGTCGCTATGAACATTAGCTCACAGTCACTACCAGTTGAAGCAGGATGTTGGGGTGTGACATATCTTGAGGGAGGGACTGTGCAGAGAGGCCAAAAACCTGAGAAATGCACCACTATGCCACAGCTTATAAATCCATAATCCAGTTTCTGTTAAATATTTGTGATACAATCCAAAAAGTTAAATCATATTTTGAGCTTTTTTTTAACTCTTTCGGCACAGCACCTCGTATTCTTACCCAATGAGTCACACAAGTCAGTGGTAATGCTTGAATCTAGTATTATAACGTGTCTGTCTTTGCTCAGGTTCAAGAAAATCATCCCCATCCCTGAGCAGAGTATGGTCCAGACGCTGTGCTACTTGCTGGAGTGTCTGCTGATTCCAGAAAACACCCCACCAGACTCGTCTTTGGAACTTTACGAGCTGTATTTTGTCTTTGCTGCGGTCTGGGCCTTTGGGGGAGCCATGTTCCAGGACCAGGTAATGTGTGGGCCTCTGGCCATGTGAGATACTTACTAGGTGGTTGCATAAACAGGGAGAAGAATGGGATGTAAGTGAAACAGCTGAATGATTTCCACCTTCCTTCCTGAAAGAGTTTTTTGCACTTGCATTATGGGTATTCCTCAGTATTATTAATGCCTCGATGACGCCTACGCAACTCAAAATTATTCTGAGTTGGCTTTTTAAAAAGAGAGGAGTGATATCTGACAATAAAGTGGACTCTGTTCCTGCTCAACATCTCACAGGATGGCTGAATGTAGATAAGCAGGAGAGCCACACAGTAGCAAGCAGTTGCTAAGCAATCCAGTTAGCGCTGTACAGTAAGTGCGTCCGTCTAAGTTATGGGATAAAGTTTCTCTCCCCTTGGTGCAAATGTACTCCACTTTATTTTCCCATCACAAATGCATTTAAATGCTAAGTGGTTTTATTGACTGGAGAGTTGGTAGTGAAAAGAGGAGACAGGTACCAAGAGGTGGGGGGGCAGAGAGGAAGGTGGGGAGCTGCCAGGCAGCAGGTGATGAGGCTACTTCACTGTCTGAATCAGACAGAYGGATAGATGGGCCTGCCACCTCTCATTTTCTACCCTTCAGCTGCTGCAGCTGCGTCTCTGTGTTGTTGCTGTTTATTTGTCTTCCGCTTCATATTCACACCAATGGAACTGAGAGGCACAGATCCATAGCTACTGTATGGAGGAGAAAAAAGCCGGAA